AAAAAAAAAAAAACCCAAACCGAAAAAGGGATAAATATATCATGGGTGAAGAAAAGGTATTTCAGTCTCATCAACATCTTTACAATGCTGATAAGTTCGTTAATTGTGCAGGACACTTAAGTGACCACAGAAAAAGAGAAGAGGCATTTTGCTTATTTTAAAGAATGTTACAAATATAAGTTGTACTCGATAAGTTCATTTCTAAATATAATTTTGTTGTATTACTTTTTTTGCTTTGTAATACTATTTAAGATAGTCATTCTACATAACAATGATTTGACAGGATGAAAAGTAGCCTTTAATTTTGGTGAATTTATACATACAAAATACATCTTCCATGATATGTTACCAACTTTGTTTTATAAAAGCAAGACTTTTTACAATCATTTATAGAAAAACATTATTCTTTAGAAATTATACTTACTATAATTTATCTTTTCTAAATACTGACATGAAGTGAATAACTAAGAATGTTATTTGGCAAAAGTATTTCTAGCCCTATCTCCATGAAAGGTGTTTTAAAGTCAAGATTATTGACTCATTATTTTACTGTTCTAGCCGCTAGCAAAGAGCCAAGAAATAACCAAAATATTCAAAATATTCTATTGTAAAGCTGACATAACAATGTACAGAGTTCAACCACATCTAATTTTTGAAGACCACTTGAAACAACTTAGCACAATTTAATGTCCTAACTTACATTTTTAGGGTAAATCCTGCATGTTTTAAGGGGCTGAGTTTTTAAAGTAAGGTTTTTCTTACTCTACATTATAGCAAAGCACTATTTCCCACTTACAGTTATTTAACTGTTAAACGTGGTACTAGGTTCTGTTCTACTAAATATCTCAGATTTCCTTCATTTCCACAATCCTACACTTAAAAAAATATTACTATTTTTTTTTTTTTTGGTCCAAAAGTTCCTCTGTTTCATAACAAATAAACTTTAAACAAGAAAACCCTACCAGGACTTTCGTTACTTCTTTTAAGTTCACTATTTTCGCTTTGGTGAATTAGATATACCTAGATAGGAAGACTTAAAAGTCAGAGTAGGACTTCTGTATAACAGTAAGTACAGTCATATAATGATAAGAATTCCTAATTATTAAACAAGTTCTAATCTTTATTATGGCTGCTATTACTGGTTCAGCTGTAGATTTACAAAACTGACATAAAGCTAAGATTTTCTTTGCCACCAAAATTACAAATATTAAAAAGTTCAAATATGCACACTGAGGCTGCAGTAAAATTCTAAATTTCTATTTTCACATGCCATGACTGTACCTAACAAAAGAACATGGTGCGTTTTATTGAAGGGGGGGGGTCCCCATTTATTTCTAAGAAAAAGCTTGATGTCAGCATTCACCAGAGCAAAATTCAGTGGCAACCTGCACAGAAGCCTTAATTTCACATCTTGCCAAAACCAAAATAATTTACACAAAAATAGATATAAACTAGGTAACAATATATACCAGTATATCACCAGTGCTATTTACATTAAAAATGTTGCATTGCATAATTCAAGGAATAAAATACCATCATGCATTTCATATTAATGTTTAATATGGAAAAAATGCAGTTACAGAACTAAGATTGCTTACCATGATTGTCCCAATGTTTACTAAAGGAATAATACTCAAAGCTTCTTGTTCACCTATCATCTTCTTCCATTCCCAGTCACAAATCTAAGCATTATGTATGTATGTGTATATATGAATGTGTATATACACACACACATATATAAAATATATATATGTATATATTATATATATATTATATATATGTGTATCTCATTACTAGTATCAAGAAACTTCTGAGTATTCTCTATTATACTGGCATATGAAACTAAAGATAGACTACATAACCACATTGAAAGTTGTCATGAAAATGTATGAAATAATCCCAAGAACTATAGTTCTTCAAACGTAAAAACTATTTGGGTCATCATAAAGAAGATATAGTCCTTTCAAAGTTTAATACCACTCTTTAGACAAATACAGATAACACACGTCTAAAAAGGAACATTCTTTTTCATTCTGAACAAATTAAAATACAGTCTGTTGCTCAAATAAGGAAACATTATATTATCGTTACATTAGATGATGTTTTTGTCATTTCTTCTGGAGAATGACTCTTTATTACTTCTTTGATGAACTGTTCAAGTGCGGTGAAATAGCCTTGGCACTGCCAGGTATCATTATGAGTTCCATCCGGAAAAATGGCTAATCTTTTAGTCCGAGATGGGGAAAGTTCATAAAGTTGCTTCATCATTACTGGTGGAATTAATTGGTCAGAGAGTCCAGAAATGAAAAGAGAAGGCATTCTGCACTGAGAGATTTTTCTGTAGGACAAAAATTTATTTTTGTAGCACCACAAAGGAAGATAGCGCATTGGAAAGAATGAAAATAAAGTGCTGGCCATATGTGGTATGCTTAAAAATGTGTTCTCCACCATTATGGCTGAAATCCTGTGTGAATTTTCAGAAGCCAAATGAATAGCCACTGCTCCTCCCAAGGAACGACCAAAGAGGAAAATTTTTGTTTTATCGAGGTCAGGTCTAGTCATCACATAGTCGAGCACAGCTTCAGAATCTAAGTAGAGTCCTTCTTCACTTGCTTCACCTTCACTTTTTCCATATCCTCGATAATCAACCAGCAAAAGATTAACTTTGAGGTTAACCAACATAAGCAATGCATTTGGTAACCTATGACCTATGTTCCCTGCATTCCCATGAAAATAAATTATAGTTGGGGGATAGGGTGAATTGTCTCCAGTGTATCTTATCAAAATAAGATTTAGACAGACTCCATCTTTGGTTCTGATGAAAATATTTTCATGTGGAATACCAGTGGGCATGGGAACATAAAGGCGTGAAGAAGATGGCTGTTCTGGAAAATAAAGCAATACATCCTGGAATTTATACAGAATACCAGCTATTGATACAAATATTAACAAAAGTAATATAATGCCTCCATACAGATGAAATGTCACTATTAAAGGTAGAAGAGAAATACGACAGAGAGCCCAAGACCATGATGCTAATGCTATTAACCATCTTTCAACAATGTTCCACAGCATCCATGACTTTTCCATTGTAGCTCTCTGTGAATTATTATTCCATAAGTATCCTGAGGAGAAAAAAAGGACATAATTAATAACAAATCTACTGCTGTGAAATATCAACTATATGAAAGATCAACAATAAATGACGGTGATAGGTGAATCCTTAGAAAACTACATCTTTGAACAAAATTGGCTGCTACCATCCCCTTTCCCTTTCTATCAACAACTTCCCCCCTGTATTTCACCACTGTCACATTTATAAAACATAACATTTCTCAAATTTGTACTTTTAAGTGTTTATTTAATAGAAAAATAAGTTGACATGTTTTTAAATTTTTTATATTGCAAAGCACAAATGAATTGACTAAGGTCTCACGTCTGTAAACAGTAGAAGGGAACAAATATGATTTCATGAGCTACCACTATCATATGCTATTATCATGCCAACTTTTATTCCTAAAAAGGGGACTAACAGATTCTAGTGGAACTAATAGATTTTAATTTATCTAATGCAATCAAGTACTATATATTGATATTTTAATTTGCTTATTATAGAAAATGTTATTAAATAAACAAGGTTATTGTCATTATGTGCCACTGACTTGGAATCAACTTATAGCTGAACTGCAAGGAGGTATTCAGAAGTATAAACTGCACAAGAAAAACCTGCCAATCTTTCTCCTACAGAGCAGCTAGTAGATAAGAACTGCCTTCCTCTGAGTTGGCACCATATGATTCCTTACCACTAAGCCACAAAAGCTCCTACAAAAGAGGGGTAAAACAAACAAACAAAAAAAATCTTTTTTTTTCTTTTTTTATTAATTTTAATAGACATTTACAGAGGTTTTGGATAATTCAAAGTTTTCACAATTACACTTAAAAGAATAATTTAACCAGATCTTAGCATTCTTTTAATTTTAAGAAAAAGTTGAATGTCTTTCACATCTTATTAGAAAGACTATGTTAATGTCATAAAACATAAAATACTTTTGGTATCATTTTTAAAGGTTTCACAATATGGAATCAATATAAACTGCTAGGATATAATACTGCAGTAAATATCTATGGAATAAATCTGAAGAGATGGTTTCATTAGACACTGTAATTACTGTTATAAAATGGATAAAAATGCAGTATGATTTGTAAACTCACAGTATAATTTTTACTCTCAAATTTAAAAAAAAGGCAAGATAGCAACATTAAAAAACTGCATGAAAGAAAATGCATTAGCACTGATAAACATTACCATAAAGAAAAGCTATTCTTAACTACAGTCAAATTTTAAAATTATTAATGCCTGATTTGAAAATTATACTCTATGTTCTATGTTAATAACTATGTGTGTGTGTAAATCAGATTTAAACACCAAAATATTATATTATCAAGTTAGAATGGTTACAAACACTAGTTGAATGATTTAATTAATCTAAAGACTTAGATTTTTGTCACTATTATAGCTACCTACTTTCCTATTTAAACTTTTGTTGAAGTAACTTTCTCTGAAAATAAATTAACAGTATAGCATTTTAAAAACTATTTCCTAGAAATCAACACTGCCACCCAGTTGTAGCAAGTTTTATTACAGTGAATATTCTATGTAAAAGTACAAACATAAGGTAAAATAAAATGTAAACTGAAAAAACTTACATCCGAACTATCCCTATACAAGCAGAGATCAAATCCAGGTAAAACTTAGAGGAAGAAAAAAAAATTATAGTATACACATAATAAAACTGTTATAATAAACTGCTTCAGGTCAATAACCTAATGATATAATAATGTTTATACTCAACAATAGTTTAACTGTTAATAGCTTAAATATACCTAGGGAAGCAGTTGTCAAGAAAGCAACATGTATACTGCAGTTGGCAAATGTTGCTAAGTACTTCTTCAAATTTTAAAAAGATGTTACTTTGAGAACTAAGATGCTTCAGAACCAAGTCATGGTACTTTCAACCACTTCATATGCATAAGAAAATCAGACAAAGAATCAGAAGGCTGAAAAAACTGCTGCCTTTAAATTGTGGTGTTGGTGACGAACACTAAATATACTATGGCTTGTGAAAAAAATCAACACCTCTGTCTTGGAAGAAGTGTAATCAGTGCTCTTTAGAGGCAAAGATGGATCGAGTTTGTCTCATACACACATTTTTAAGGGGGGGAAACATAAGAATTCTCCTGCTATTGTAAAAGTAAATCTAATCATTTATAACAAATAATGACATCAAGCAGATGAGTAATTGAAATTTCACTTATTTGGCAATATATTATATGTAAAAATGTTCTAAAGTTCCATTACCCTTAAAGTTGTGTCTATATCACATACTTCTCCAAAAACTAGGTCTATCACTTATTTCTAGCCTGAATTTCCTTTTTAGTATAAGAAAAATATCAAAAGAAATAATAATTTTTAAAATATTCTGCTCTAGGGGTCTATTTAAGAAATAGAAATACATCCAGAAATACAAAGTAACATAGCCATAGTATTTATAAGTACCTTTTAAAAAATTTCATGTTCTAATGTTTATCAGCCTTATTTACAAATGCTTTTCTAATTCTCATCTTAAAAGGAAATTCAGATGATTTTGCTCTAGTGGTGTGTCAGAGACAGTTAGGCTTGCACAGGATAGAGCAGGGGTTAGGGCTCTTGTCACTATGAGTCGCAAGCAACTCAACACACAGAACAACAACAAGAAAAACAGTGGTCTTTTAGGGAACTCTGGAGGCCCAGTGGTAAGAAAGTCATGCAGTTCAAATCTACCAGATACTCCACGGGAGAGATATGGACAATCTCTTCCCAGGCAATTGACTGCCTCTGAAAACCTGCTGGAAGGACAACTATTAATTGGTTCCAACCTAACAGCACACAACAATTATCAGAATAGAAATACACAATGGACTAAAAGGGGGGGGGAGACCCCAAAATTTGGTGATGAAATGGCAAAACATTGCTATTACCCTGATAAAATCCACAGCCATTGAATCAATTCCATGAACTATCTCTTAAGGATTCCAAAGCTGTAATCTTTATTAAAAGCTGATTCACCATTTCCCTCTCATGAAATGTCTGGCTCAATGTGCCTGTATTTCAACCAGCAGCCAGATGCTTGACCACTGTACCACCATGGCTTCTCACCAAACTATCTGGGTAAGGAAGGATTCATCAAGTCAGTTTTCTAAAAAAGCACATTTCTTTTACAAAGTTACAAAACCAAATAAGATATAAAGCTTCTAACACACAGAGCAGTTTCAATCCACCAGCAGCTTAGGAAACTGGGCAGGCTCCTCCCATCAGGATACACAGCCCTGTGTACCCAACACAGGGTTGCTAAGAGTTGAAATCAACAGCAGTGAGATTTTTTAAAATACACAGACAAGACCTATTCTGCAATCCAAACATTATTATTTACATCCACTTAGACTATTTAAACTTAGAAAAAGTACCTTTTTCTCCTTGTTGTACTCTCAAGTACACTACTATTCCTATCAACCTTATGCATAACAAGTCAAAACCTTACCTGATCCTGCCTCAGCCTAACAATCTCTGTTTTTAAATCCACTGCTGTCACTGCGTCAATCCACCTCTTCAAGGGAATTCTTCTCATTCACTGACCTTCCCTTTTTCATGAATATCAAGACCTTCTCCAGGGATTGATCCCTACTGATAAATGCCTACAGTATGTGAGAGTGAGTCTTACTATTATTTCCTCTAAGGGGTACCCTGACTGTACTTGTTCCAAAATAGGTGTTTGTTCTTCTGGTAGGTACCCCGGTATAATCAACAATCTTGGTCAGCACAATTCAAAGGTACTCTTCACACTTATTCATATGATACAACAGGAAATATTTAATTTGGGTCAGGTAAACCTTACCCTTTACAATGACTATCTTGCTTTCTAAGAATTTAATAGAAGTTCTTTAAGTGGACTTGGCTAACACATTGATCTCTTGATTTCTTGATTGTTGCTCCCATGGCTGGTATTTATGGAGCAAAATAAAAGGAAATCCTTGACAACTTCAATCATTTCTCTATTTCTTTGATGTCATTTGACTATTAGAAAGCTCTGGTGGACTAGTGGTAAAAAGTGTGCTGCAATCCCAAAGGCTTGCAGTTCAAATTCACTTGCTGTTCCACAGGAGGATGGGGAAATCTCCTCCCATGTGCTGTACTGCCTCCGAAAACCTGCTCATGGGTCAGCTGTAGGTTGCTTCTGATTCATTAGCAAACAACATCATCTGACTACAGGCCCAAGTGTAAGGATTTCGTTTTCTTAACACTGAGGTGTAAAACATACCAAAAGTATACTAGTCTTCTTTGGGAAGTACTTCAAGTCCTCTTTGCTTTCAGCAAGCAAAGCTATCACATGCATAATGCAGGCTGCTGATGAGTCTTCCTTCAAACCTGATGCCACATTCTAAAAATGGTCCAGCTGTATGGATTATTTTTTTCAGCACACATATTAAAGTGGTATAATGAAAGGATACAACCTTGACACATAGCCTTTGTGCTTTTAAGTCATGGAGTATCCTCTGTTCTGTGACTTGATTTTCGGTTCATGAACAGGTTCCACATGTTGTTGTTGTTGTTATGTGCCGTCAAGTCGTTGCGACCCTATGTACAATAGCCCTAAACTCTGCTCTGTCCTGTGCCAATAGCACTGTCTCCGACACTCCCATCCTGATTATCCCAGTCACTGAATCAATCCACCTCATAGAGGGCCTTCCCCTCCTTCGCCGTCCCTCCACCCTCCCAAGCATGATGTCCTTCTCCAAGGACTGGACTCTCCTCACAACATGTCCAAAGTATGTTAGATGGAGCCTCAGAATCCTTGCCTCCAAGGAGCCACCCGGTTTAACCCTTTCAGGACAAATCTGCTTGTTTTCCTAGCAGTCCATGGTATTCTCAATACTCTTCTCCAGCACCGCAGCTCAAAGGCATCCATTCTCCTTCTATCCTCTTTGGTCATTGTCCAACTCTCTGATGCATAACAAGTGATTGCGAAGACCATGGCCTGTATCAAATGCACCTT